CTTTAAAGCTGAACTCTGGGAGTTAGCCAAAATGTCCCCTCGCAGTGGGGGCCCCCTGCACTGCAAGGGTTAAATGCTTGTGGCGTCTAGGGAGGAGGTAAAGAGGTTATAATATGTACTTCGCTGCTTTATCCGACATGCTTCAGTGCTCTCCTCTTCTCCCTGATGCTCCAAGCTATAGGCTTTTCCTCTGCGTCAACAAGTACAATACAGGGCTTTTAAACCTGCATTGCAAGTGGAGGAGGCAGATGTGCAACTGTGGCCCAGGAGCACCTTAGAGAAGAGGCTTTGCTAGACCAGTCACAAAGTTGGAGGGAGGCTAGGGGAAGATATTACTCTTTAATTCTCTACCCCTAGACTTATTGAGCAATTAACTCTTGCAGTGGGGGGTGGGCTGCAAGGGGAGATTTTTTTTTCTAATTCAGAGTTTAGTTTTAAAGAAGTTTCGGCAGATTAAAATGTACTCTTCCCAATAGTAAGAGCCAACGCATGACACTGCAGCAGTCAAGTGTCGGCTCTATAGATCGAGAAGTGAGCGATCACGAACCGCTGATCGCTCAGTTCATGGCTTCTCCCTGCAAAGAGTGGTAACTGTCAGTCACCTCTCCCTGCAGGAATTCCCCCCTCCCCTCTCTGTTCCTCCAGCGCTCATTGGGGCGACAGAAAGGGGAAGGGATGGGCGTGGATCCTGACAATATTGTCAGGATCTTTCCCGGCTGCAGCATGGCTCTGCTCTGCCAGCATATTAGGGAGCAGTAGCCCTTACTTTGGGTCACAGGAGTACATTAGTAAATGTACTCCTGTAAGCCAAAAGAGAACTGTAGCCAAAAAAAGGTTTGGCTATAGTTCTCTTTTAAATGCAACTACTTAGCACCTTTCCCTGCTAATTTTCAATTCAGTACTTTACATTCATTCACACCAAGTATCTGTGTCCCCTTCCCTAACTGCATCATGCTGATAGAAAGCACAGCTTCCACAGAGCAAAGCATGGAATCTTCCTATACCTTATGGGAGCTGTTTTCTCATTTGTTTTAGATTAGTTGAATTATGACACACTAGAGAAAGGTAACCACATACAGAAACAAACATTTCCCAATAGAGATTACCAACAGGCATTCAGACACAAAGAAAAGTAGTATTGTGTCACCGAAAGGGATGTAGCATTTCTAAACACGCTATTTTACCTGCAAACATTGCTTAGTGTGGTTTCCTTTTAAGATCTAATTCTCAAGGGCAATTTTTTGTATCACTCTACAGTGGTGGAAAAACACCCATAATAGGTTGCTCTCTGTATTCCAGAAGAATTGAAATGAGTCGCATTATTATTCTACATCTGCTATCATGAAGAATGTCAGCGTCAATAGTTGATGACAATCTCCGGCAGCTTAATTTACCTTGGAAGCAGTCTCAGTGTAAGCACATAAAAGGATTCCACTCCATACATTTGCATTGGGTTTGCACATGAGAAACCAAACCAATTATTATCAATACAATACGACTAACAAATATTTGGCATTATTAGAATGTTATTAAAAAACACAAAAACATAAAAACAACAATCATCAACTTTGCAAAATACATTAAACGTCAAATAAAGCATTTGGCAAAGGTCATTTGCTCAAGGACTCCAGGCAAATATAAAAAGCTTAGCCTGAATATTCATGAAAAAGTGACTAAACACAGATGTTATGCAAAACCAACCCACTATCGGTTACAATCTGGCCACAGACAACCTCTCTAAGGGCTCTTTCACACAAGTGCGTCCAGGAGTTGTTGTGGTGGAGTTCTGTTTTTGGTCAAACCACCATTCCCATGTCTTCCTTCTGGGTGGTGTCTTCCTATTAATAGAAATCTATAGGAAGACACAGCTTGAATGAGTAATCTACATTGGTGGGTATGTCTGTGAAGGTTCTTATTTAACCAGTTCATGGTATATCTGTAAAACAAAATAGGTCAAGGCGACTGGACTTGCTGTAGAACAGTAGAAAAGGGAAGGAGGCTGGAAATAAAGGTCTATCAAAAACCAACAAACACGGATCAGTACCTGCTATTTGCCTCCCACCACCCTCTAGACCACAAACTGGGAGTCATCAGGACTCTACACTACTGGCAGAGAATTCCCACCAGAACAGAGACAAAGACAAAGGAATTTAAACACCTCAGGGGGGCCCTTAAAACTTGCAGGTATCCAGACTGGGCTTTTGTCAATACAGAAAGAAGAGGAAAGAAAGCCAAGCCGACCAGTGAGGGTGAAAAGCATGATAAACGGAAGAATTTGGTCATCCCATATGTAGCTGGGGTGTCTGAGAAACGTAGAAGGGTTTTAAAAAAACATTACATCCCTGTCTGCTTTAATCCCAGCAATACACTGAGGCAACAATTGGTTCACCCAAAAGACCCAACGCCAAAACACAAGATGACAACATTGTGTATGCAGTTCAGTGCAGTAAAGAGTGCTCGGAATTGTATGTCGGTGAAACAAAACAGCACCTACACCAGCGTATGGCACAGCATAGAAGAGCCAAACCCTTTGGTTAGGATTCAGCAGTGTACCTACATCTAATGGAAAAAGGTCACTCCTTTGAAGATAGTCAAGTACACATCCTAGACAGGGAGGAGGACTGGTGTGAAAGAGGCCATTTATGTAAAAATGGAGAAACCAAGTTTGAATAGAGGTGAGTGAAGGGAGGTGTGAGACATCTATTGTCTGCCACATACAATGCTGTATGTGGCAGACAATCTCTCTGAGCCGGTTAATAACACCTCCTAGCTCCAATTATGCAAATGAAATCAACACCTGGTTGCAATTAACAGATTATGTGGATTGGAGCAACATTCACCATATTTATTCCCACATAATTTTTGTACAAGTCATTCTGAATTGAGAAAGCTGGTTGGATGACCAGTGAAACGTCTTCAAGAAAAATACAGCAAGTCCAGGTGCCTTGACCTATTTTTTACAGATATATTGGTAGGCTTTTGTATGCTTTGAGTGGATTGTACATGCAAGTCAATAGAGATGCAAAACCAACTTGAAGCAGGTCAAATGCAGGCCAGAAGAAAGGTCAATTGCAGGTTTAATGCACCTGACAATGAATTCAGAATAATCTCAGAAGCGTCTTGAACTGATGCCATCAACACAAGCTGAAAGCCGGTCGACACAAGCCCCACTAATGTTCAAGCTGCCACATTGCACTTGTTGGCTTTAGGGGTCGGTATTGTTGGGCTTTTGTAATGCTTTGAACGGTTTTTGCATTGCCATACAAGTCAATGGGAGTGCAAAACCCACTTGAAGAAGGTCAAATGCAAGCCAGAAGGAGATCAACTGCAAGTCAAATGAACCTAACAATGGATTCTGAATGATCCCAGAAGCATCTTAAATGGATGCCATCAGCACAAGCCCTAATAGTGTTCAAGCAGCCACATTGCAGTTGCTGGTTTCTTTGTACTTTGAGCCAGTCAGCCAAGTAAACTACATCACATCCATCATCCAAACTTAACCTGGTAGGGGTCAGAATTACATGCCAAGCTCCCCATTTTATCACACGTGTGAAAGGGCCCTTAAAAAAGTTGTAATAAAATAAAACCAGATATTTTTAAAGTTCTATTACATTAAGAACAAGTTGCTGAAAATCAGCTAGCTGGGGATCCTACTTCTAGGCTGAGCAATTAAAATGAAACGATGGGAAAATAAAAAATTTACATATACGATGCATAATGTTACTAGCAATAACACAGAAGGAGCCCCCCCCCCCACAACAATAAAAAACAATCGATCACGCCATTAGAGATGTTATTTGTTTCACTCCTTTTAACAAAGGCACAGTTACATGGCTGGGACACACTACTTATTGCTAACATTGCTTACAATGCTTTTTCCAAAGGGAAAAATAAGCTGTTGCTGTAACTGCTTGAAAAGGTGTTAGCTGGTGTCAGGCTTTAATTTGCATGCACATTAATTAGTGTTTTATATCTGCATGGAGTTCAGCTATAAATTAAACCAGCCATAAATAAAATTAGGCGTACTGCCATTGCCAACTTTCTTTATCATTATGCTGCAAGTTCCTTGACTGTAAGGTTTATTCTATCAGCCTTTGCTGACCCAGGACATGCAACCACTGAAATCAGAAGACAGAATGTAACAGACCGGAAACCAGCAACTATCAGCACCATGACTCTGGCTTAAGTGTATCTTAAATTTTGTAGCCAATTTGGGAAAACACCTACTTTATATTTTTTACATGTTCCCATTCGCATAGCATAACTATAAAAGATGTAAAAATGCATATTACAGTTTAAATTGTCTTTATGTGGGTTAGGTTTTTTTTGCTTCTTAAGGGTTCACATTTCTATTTGCTTCTCCTTCATGGTAACATTTATATGGGCTGTGATGGGTTAAAGGATTACAACCCTGGCTTCTGTATTCAGGTGTAAATTAATATAATGAGTGAAACAATTCTCAAATTTCAGTCCTAAGTCTTTATAATAGGAAAGATCACTGTGAAGGTGCTGAGAAAAAAAACATGGATTCGGCCACGTTGCCTGCTGCAACAAAACATCTAAAAAGGTAAGAAATATTTGTAAAAAAATATATATTTTTCAATATGCTATGTGAATGGGAACACATAACAAATATACGTTCACCAACATCCTTCTCAATACTGTATTGCCATCATAGCCAACTGAAGGTTCACCCCAGCCTCACTGTAGTATTGACTACATAGCTGCTGAAGTGAGAATAGGAGGTTGGCAGCAGGAGTAAAGAACACAAACTCCCATCTGCAGTGTCCTTAGGTTTTTCAGGCTCTGGAAGTTCCCTGAGCACACAGACATCAGTCGTTTGTCAAGGGTGTGGAGCCATGACACAGGGAAACAATTTCAGTCACACACAAATCGGTTCATGCTCTCCGAGAATAAGCAGCATATAGCAATGGAACACCAGCACAGAAAAAAAGAGAAAAGTGGCCATTGAAACTCTTTAAAATGAAGTTTTTGGTTTTTTTTGACTGGTGTGGCCATGTAAGAAAGTTGCATTGGTCCAGGTAGAATTCCAACGGCCTGTTGAATGCTGAACAGTGTACAGCAATTCTTGCATGGTCCGTTATTGGAAATGTCAATGGGTCATTTACAAAATCCTTTTGCCTGAAATGTCAGTAAACCATACCAGTTGCAGTAACTGGCCAAAGATAGTTCCGCCTAGCGATCACATCTAACAGTTTCCAGTCTTAGAGCTCATCGTCTGAAATGATGAGCATCATTTTCTCATTTTGCTTCTTTTTCTTGCTCGAGTGTCCATTGGTCGCCGGCGTGTTCCCGTTCTGTCCCTGTGATTTGTGCTCAGAGTCCTGCATTGATTGCTGGGTGTACTGCTGGTACGTGGGGGAGAAGTTGTGGATGGCATCTTGTACAATGTCATTTGGGCTCATCGTCTCCTTCAAACCGCTTGAGATGCTCTGCATAGGTGCCACGTTTGCTGTCGGAGAAGGGAAACAATGGTTGGTGCTTGTTATGAAATATACATAAATATTGATTTTTGTCATGCAGAAAATACCCGTCTCTGATAAATGCAATCACTTCGTTCATGGACAACTGATCTAAGCCCAGGTAGGGAAGCCAAACCTACTCAGCCTCATTAGGAAGTCACTGCCCCCAAACTAGTATGCAGCCAAGAAGGCAAGATAATGACTGCTTCCGTCAGACACCTTTCAGAGTGGTGATTTACTTTGACAAAGATTTAGAATCTTAACCAGTTGACATCCGCGGTGTTAAACCCCCTTCCCATCCAGGCCATTTTTCAGTATTCAGCGCTGCGGTACTTTGACTGACATTTATTCCGTCATGCAGCGCTGTACTGAAATGAATTTAATAAGCAGTGGTGTATTTAGGTTTTGTGCTGCCGTAAGCAAGACTACACTCGGGCACCCCCCCAATCTAAATTTGCCCCACCCCTTCCTCTATAAAGACATTTTGCGTAACCTGTCAGTCGCTGGATACAGCGTGCATGTTGTATCCAGCTTCTGACAGGCTGCGTTAATAAAGTGGCAGGGAAGACAGGGTCTCAGGTGGGCTGTGAAGGATCTCTTGTGAAACCGCATAGCCCACCTGAGACCTTGTAGAGTCCGCCACAGACTCCGCATGGCCCGCCACAATCCCTGCACACATGTGCTCCTCCACTTACCTGAAGCCTGCCCCAGCCAGCCTCCAGATCATCTCTCCATCAGATGCTGGAGTATGGGCAGCCCTGAGCCGCTCGCAGCTCTGCCGGCCAGGCCGCATCTCACTCTGCCCCGCCTCCGCCCCACCTCCGGTCCTGCCTCCTCCACCCGGCAGCTCGTTCAGGTAAATTAGGTGGCGGCAAGACACAACGAGCGGCTGCCTAATTTGCCTGATTAGGCAGCTGGGGCTGCCTGATTATGTGCGACCTGGCACTGATTTGCTGCAAATGCCTTGTTTGCCTTGCAGTGAATACACCCCTAGTTATAAGAGTACCTGTTGCGCTTTCCTTCTTCTCTCTGTAGACCTGGCAGGTGAAGGCATAACGCAAGGCAATGGCTGCAAACAGCATCTCAATACAAATGATGAAGTTCTGGTACCCAGCAGCCACTGTGCCTGCCCCGACCGTGTTGCCCTTAATAATTTGAACTTCTGGAATGGCCCCTCCTCTCTCCAGTATGGCCAGGAGCATTCCTGATAAGCAGATAACCAGCGTTAGAGTGAAAAAAGTGTTATTGGATAAGACGGCAGAGACATATCAATGTTAGTCATACAACCTAGCATTTCTTTAGTGGAAAGGAAAAAGGAACATATCAGGCACCAAAGAGTGTCTACATTTTATTCATGCTACTATGTTGGTTTTCAATAAGCACAGACCATGTTAACTCCATGGACTCCATCAACGAAAGAGTTTTCTGCATCTTCTTGACGACAGTATAAAAAAACATTAATGTACCCACATACACTGCCTGGCCAAAGGAAAAAAAAAATGTCATACACTCTAATATTTCATTGGATCGCCTTTAGCTTTGATTACGGCACACATTCACCAAGGCATACATTTCAATAAGCTTATGCAATGTCAGAACATTTATTTCCAACCAGAGTTGCATTCATTTTTCACCAAGATCTTGTAGTGATGATGGGAGAGTCAAACCACTGTATAAAGTCTTCTCCAGAACATCCCAAATATTCTGAATGGGGTTCAGGTCCGGACTCTGTGGTGGCCAATCCATGTGTGAAAATGTCTCATGCTCCCCGAACCATTCTTTCATAATTGAAGCAGATGAATCCTGACATTTCATCTTGGAATATGCCATGCCATCAGGGAAGTAAAGATGTAGTGATGGAAAATCCTGGTCATTCAGTATATTTAGGTAGGCAGATTGCTTAATTTTCTGGGGGACATAACGTTACTGAACCTAGACCTAATTATCCAATGGGAGGCTGTGACATATTTGCTTAGCTAAATCCAGGTGGTGACTTTTTCTTTGTCAGGCAGTGTACAGAACTATGTATATCATAAGCTGTATTAGTGAACACCCAACAATAGCACCCACCTTGCCAGAATGATAAAAAGACGACTGCTTTTATGGTAAGAAACTTCAACACAGGTTCAAAGGGGTGAAGTAACTCCTTGGTTGCAAAATAGAAGAGGAACAAGGCGTAGAGAGCAAGACTGACAGATATGTTGTAGATGATTGCGACGTATAGGTAGCCACTCTGAACGCTGCAAGGAAACAGAAACGTTAACTTATAATAAACGAGGACAAACATCAAAGTTAGTGAGGTGCTCCACCTAAACCTCTGGAGCAGTAGGTGAGGTTAGGCACCCTTATCCTTCAAACAGTGTGAGACTAGCAGTGAATGATATGGCAATTATACGCTAAAAGTAAAAAAAATTTATGGACTTACATTATGACATTAAACTGTGCTAATGAATCCTTGTTAGACAGCTAAACTTTAAAAGTTCAGCCCCGAGGGCAACAATATTTTGACAGCTGGCACCTGCAACACTCAGCATACCCAAACAGTGACTGCACCTGAATTCTGCTGCTTTAAAGTGAATGTGAACTCAGATATTTTCCCACTTGTAAGTATAGGGCACCCCACCAGTGATTAATATACAGATCAAATGCTTTAAAAATATCATTATCAATAACTTTTTGAACTGTTATAACCACTTTTCAGCTCTGCATGGCCCCAGTCAGGGGATAGGCTAAAGTGCACCGGGTAGTGCATCGGCCGGAGGACACAGCGGGGATCGCGGACAAGGTAAGTCCTACGCTGTATTCCCGAGTGTGGCTCGGGGTTACCGCTTTGTTAACCCTGAGCCACACTCGGGAATAACAATGGATACGCCCCAAAGAAGCTCTTGTACTTGTTTGGGCGTAGGGCGTTTTTCAGAGCGTTTCCACGGGCTGAAATACGCCCAGGTGGGAACCATGCCCATAGTAAATTATGGGATTTCACTTGCTGAGCGTTTTTCAGCGCTGAAAAACACCCAGGTGTGAACCAGGCCTAAAGGAGATTGTACAATCAGATTGTAATGTATGTGACGAGTCTTAAGCTGGCTATACACCTATAGATTATCTGCAGATTTTCTATGGTCAGATGGAAAAAGTGCAACAGATTCCTCCATCTACGCTAATCTGTGTGGAGGGAGGAATCTCCCACTGGGCCGAGCTTCAGTATCTTGCTAGTCGGCCCTGCTGACTGTCAAAATACCTGAACAATTTGATTGGATGCAGGCACTGTTCAGGTGTTTTGGAGAGCCATGGGGGGCCATAGAAAATCTGCAGATGATCTATAGGTGTATGGCCAGCTTTAGTCTCTCTACACATGTTACAATCTGACTATACAATCTCTCTGTTCAATCATATTTAGATCTACCAAAACGATGTAATATGAGGACCTACCTAAACTATCCAAATAATTTGTATCCAATCAGGCACGTTCTTTCACTACATACTTGTTGGTAGATCTAAAGAAGAAGGGTTATGACTTTTGCCATCTGACACTTACGCGCTATCACCAGCACAGATTTCCCGAATGGCAGAGGTTGGGAAGCGGACGCCAATTTTACAGCAGAAATATAAATACAAAAAAACAACCAACCAGTAAAACATCTTACTTGAAATCCCCATCATGGTATTTCCCAAACGCCTGCAGAATTATCGTCATGACACCCATGATGGGTTTCACTATGCAGAATTGAAGGGTTGCCTGTGAAGAAAGGACAAGTCACTAGTAACGGTTTCTAATTATTTTTCCCTATGGTACAAGGTCACGATGGCCACTATAATTGCAAGCAGCTAACAGGAGAGATTGGTTTTGTTATCCACAGCAACCAGTTAAACATCTTACTTGCTAATTCAAGACGCTTCCAGTCATATGTCCCAAGGACCCCCTCTTCTTCACCTCCATAACACAAGGGGGAGGTGTTCGGTCATCCATGCAGGCCTGACAACGCTACTTGGGATTTCAATGCAGCATAGGCAGCGTTCACAGCTCACTACAGGAAGTTAGGTGCTCAATGGTTTTTCAGAAGGACCAGCAGGTATTTCTCTGTACTTACAGTATTTTTAAAGAGAACTAACAATGCCAATCCCCTGGCACTGGAAAATACTGATCGCCTCCAATTCAGTGTCTGAAAAAGGTACCTAAACCAGCTAAAGTAGAAGCTTTGGGTTCAACTTCAAGACATTTTTAATCCATTGTGCTCACAGTACACTCATCAATCCTGCACAAAATCCTAATTACTGCTGATTGTTTCATGTTTCTTGGCATCAATGCACATGGACTGATAAACTCCAAACCTTTATCTGAACACTCAGCTTAGGATTTCCCTTTACAAACTACCAGCAAAGTGCCAGTAAAGCTGCAATTAAGTTTATATGTGGGCTTAGCCCATTTCTTTATATAGTTTTTCATTGCTTGGAGAAGGGTTAGACCTCATTGGTGAGATTCACCACTGTGTGTGTACAGAAAATGAGGGGAAATCCAACAATTTACAGTTGTCCCCAGAAGAAGGGACATCATCAAATAGAGACACTTGTTCTGGGGTCTAATAGGGGAATTGCCCCCATTATGGGAGCTTTCCTCTCACTTACACAGACAGTAAAAAATAACCCGGCAGGCATTGTAACCCTTCCTTACACTGTCTAAAATAAAATTTAGCTATACATACACTTTAAGAAGGTTCTAATTGCTATGCACAAGGGAAAATAATCAGTTAGCTACTAATACCATCCAGCAAACATCAAAAGTCTGTTAAAATAAGTTAAAGCTGAACTCCAGCTATAGAAATTGATATATACTTCCATTGGTCCAGCTTGGCACAATGGAAGTTATATATAATATAAATTGATCCCTGGCAGTGCCACAGGGATTGTGTAATACAATGTAGTAGCATCACTTCCTACAATGTATTACAGTGATCTTCTGAGTCCAGGAACAGCCGCTGTGCTGAGTGACTTCCCCTAAAAACACAATGGGTCACCCACTTTGCACAGCGGCCATTCAGCGAATGCCTAGAATTTTACTCAGTGAATACTAGGCATCGTAGAACTAAACTAAAGCTGGAGTACAGCTTTAGTTCAGCTTAGTCTAGTTGTGTGCAGCAAGAATCCAAAGAGTTCCCTATGGGGTCACTAGGAGGGTACTTTCTAAAGCCTGTGCTGTGTAATGTCTGTTCTCTGTTTCCTTCTAACAGCCAAGACTGATTAATGGCTGGGAGAAATGACTCCGGATTTAGTTTTTTCTATATGTGCGAGACAGCAAAAACCGTGCAGTGGGTGTGTTTGGCAATTCCTCTCCTGCATTAAAGACAGGGGTTCCCAGTTCACCAACAAAAGGGAATGGGATGCACTGGAGCACTACAGCAATTGTCTGGATGAAAAATGGTCCAACCAAACAGACTCTACTCTCCATGTACATTTCAGTGGTAGATTCTATGTTATAATTGCAATGTACCTTTATAAAGCAGCATTAACTCTTCATCTTCCTAGACTCAAGACCCTTCTGTCTCATAACATGTAGGAATCTCTCCTGCCTTTAATGGATCATCATGATCACTGCACTGCTACTTCCATTTGCTCAGTGGAGAACATCTCATAACATCCAGAGGATGAGAGGCAGAGATTCAGATTTTTTCACATGTACCTCTCAGATCCACGGTGACCTGCTTAAAGCATACTTAAGTTCCATAGAGAGGTTTGAAGTCTTTTAAAAATGATATTGGAATTTAGTTAGGAAGCTATTCTAAATAAAATAGTATGTAGTGGAGTCTTTTTTTAATATCACAGTGCATGTATTCAGACCATATTCATCTGTATGCTCTGTATTTGTATCTTAATGATGCTAAAGACAATACCAATTACCTGCTTACAGAACCGGAGGAAACCAATGGAATATGACATCCCCTGCAGACAGCACGTTCCATAGAAACAGCTGGATCTGAGGACGGAAAACATTGTGAAGTGGACATTCAGAAAATATTTATTACATTATATAGAATACAGTAGTTTGGTTCATTCTCATTTATAATCAGCGTCCAGTTTCAATTTCCACTAGTAACAGCTTCTTTTTTTTTTCTGGTATTTTAAAGCACCCTTCAGTGGCATTTTTGAGACGCCAAGTACAGATTTCAATGGCTAAGCTTCAACAAGTTTCATGTAGAGCTGAAGCTACTGAACGTGTCCTACAGCTTGCTAGGAAGTTGTTCAGAGAAGAACTTCGGGCAAAATAAATCTTAACCCTTGCAGTGGAGCTACACCCCGCACTTCAAGGCTTAAAAGAGAAAAATGGGGTAACCTTTTTTTCCCCATAGTTCTCTTTAGGGTCACGGGAGGACCCAAAGCTCGGTATATAGCAGGCTATTGTCCGCTGTATGCTGAGAACTTCGCAGCCGGGATGGTTCCTGACAATACTGTCGAGATCCAGCTGGCTCTGCCTATTAAGAGGCAAAGCCAGCTATGCCCGCCCCCTCCCCGTCCGTTCCTCCAGTCAGCGCTGGAGGAGGGGAGGAGGAGAGGGGGGGGGAATCCCTGTGGGGAGCGGTGACTGACAGTACCGCTCTCTGCAGGCAGAAGATCGGGAAGTGAGCGAGCGGCGATATGTGTCCGGCTGCTAGACTAGTCCCTGCAACCTCTCTCCCCCTCCACTCCAGGGATGGAACATCTCTCAGTGTCATCACGTCCAATACACTGACTTACAGGTTCTTAGATTGCAAACCAAAGGCGGGGAGAGGCTGCAGGGACCGGTCCAGCAGCCAGCTATGTCAAGCCAGGTTCAGGTGAGTATATCTTTGTTATATTTGACCCTCGACGAAATCGAGCACTTAACCCTTGCAGTACGGGGGTAGCCCCACTGCAAAGGTTAGGATTTCTTCTGCCCAGAGTTTTTTAAATTGGCAATTTGAAAGCTTTGCAGTTGCTGTGTAAAAGCTTGCTGTATACATTGATCTTCAGACAATCATTTACAAGTTAAAGGCTGCGTGTATTGATCCCTATCCACATACAAAGGTCACCTGCTCCTAGTGAGTATTCCTGTTCTAATGCCTAGACCGGGGATAGGCAACCTTGGCACAACAAATCTCATCGTGCTTTTCCCCACGGGGCAGTGCCAGGGAGCCCTGTCCTAAACTGTCATTATTGCAAAAGTGATGGTTTGATAGTGGCACTAATCACAGTAGGCACACAAAGCAAGGAAGCCCACCATGTGCCTTTTGGGAGAGGCAAACACAGCTTTACCAGTCTGCCACACATTCCTGAACACAGGTGTCTATAGGTCTACATCAGGAACACTGTATATTGAGCTCCCCTGTGCAGAGAACTATGTGGATTTTATGTATATAAGATGCCACTCCATAAACAAATAAAATTATTCTCACTTGACTGGCTTCCCACGAATCTCCGCCATAATCGAACTCTCCCCGCCCAGGTACTCAAAGCAAAGGCTGAGGAAGCTGTATATGACAAATGCTATTGGGAAGAAAAAATAAGATAAAACAAGATGATGCGATATAACAATATAACGCAGCAAACACATAATTAAAGTGTTGTTTTACGTATATGGAATCAGCTTTACTACATTAAGGCCTGGTTCACATCTGAGCGTTACTGATTTCAATTGGATCATATGCGCTCGGCAAGAAGGCTCATGCACCTTTTTGTGCAACAAGAGACCTGCATTTTTTTTGGAAATTGACCAATTTGCAGGCCGCGTTTAGCGTGCCATTAGAAAATAATGCCACCGCAAGCGTGTTTCACGTTTGTGTGTGATTCAGCGAACGCACGGCAATCACATGAATAGCCGTGCGTTCTCGAAACCTACAGATGTGTTTTTA